GGAGAGGGGCCGGGGAGGGGGGTCGGGCGCGGCGGGGCTGGGGCATGGCAAACGGTTGGGGTGGGCGCTCAGTGGTCCGGAAACGGGAAGGGGGCTGCTGCGCATTCCTGGGAGGGAACCGGCGCGAACGTAGGGGCCAGTGCGTGCCTGCTGTGAGGCACCGGATCCGGTTGGAGGCCGCGCCCGCTCCCGCGACCACTGGGGGAGAGGGGCCGGGCCCGCCCGCGCCCAACCGCGGCCCTCACTCACCGTCCCCGCCGCAGCCTCACGCGCGACGGCGCGGCCGCCCGCAGCGCACTCGGACAAAGGGGGAAGCCCCGCCCCGTCTGCGCATCCACCAATCCCTGGGGGCCCCGCCTCCTCTTGCCCCGCCCGGCCGGCCGGCCCACCAGTCTTAGCGCGCGATACCTCCCAGGCCAGCCGTCGGCCCCGCCTCCCCTTCTCCTGACGGCCACCGAGAGCCGAGGCCTCCGCGTCGCCTAGAGAGGCCACATTGCGCCCTGGCCTCGCACTTCCGGCGGTCCTACAGAAGCTTCCGGCGTCCCCCCATCCAGCCCCGTCTCTACAGGCAGCCGCGCCCCTTCTGTCGCCGGGCGCCTGGTCTCTGCGCTGGCGGGTCCGTCCTCCGTTTGTACTAGTTTACCTGACTCCGTGTCGTAGCTTCTGATTGCTGCCCCGGCGGTTGGCAAGGGCTTGGCGGTGGCCATCATGTTTGACAGTGACGGCCTCCTCGTCAATCTGCTGGCCAGGGAGTCAGGGAGGGCGTGCGGACTGAGCTGGTGCCCTGACGGTGCTGGAGGGGTCCCGTGTGATCGGAGGCCGAAGCAGGAAATCAGTGGGGAGGATGTGGCAATAATTCCGTGGGTACCAGAGAGCAGGGGATTCAAGCTGGTGTTTCCAGCTGTCTCCCTTTAACAGCCACGAAGGACAAGGGTTCCTACTTTGTGGAGAGTGAGGTCAGCTTCCCACAGGGAACTCCATTTGCCACTCACTCCCCAGTGTAGCAGGGTCCCCTCTGCCAAGGGACTGCGAAGCTCAGAGCAAAGGTCGCCTTCCCAGATGGTTTTGCCAATTGACAGTCATTAAACAAGGAGGCCATCAGTCTGCGGGGCTCTAATGCCTTGGCGCCTCCTTAAGCAAACCCCAACTAGCCTCCCAATAAGAACTGCTTAAGCTAGAGCCAATCAATTTCCCTGCTTTGCTTTCGCATCTTCTCTACGAAAACCACTTTTGGTTTGGCGCTTCCCAGTTCCAGTCCATGTTTGCTAAAGTAAGTCAAAAAATTTTAATATTCCTCAGTTTACATTTAACAACCAAGAGTGAGCTGTCCCAGCGACCTTGGTCCCAACAGAAAAATGATGCTTCTAGGACCTTCTCAGCATATCTTTCTTTGCTTCTCCACAACTCTTTAGTTTGCAAATGTTCATCCATCTGTAAAGGTTGAAAGAACCATGCAATGAGCACCTGTGAGCCGCTCCCTCGGCTTCAACTAGTATTTTCCTCAGCACAGCTTTTTTTTTTTGTGCCTATCTCTGCCACCAATTCTGTCCCTCTGCTTCAGCAAGCACAGTATTTATTAAGTGCTTAGTCTCATCTCCACCCAGCATATGACCTCGTTAAAATGGAAATCAGTTCAAACCCTCCGTCATGTCCCCAATTCACCCTTGTCATGACTACAACACCCTTGAAGGCATGACCACCCCCTCCCCATTGCTCTCACCTCACCTGCTTCACCTTTTGCTTTCTCCATGACCCTGGAAAAGTCTAGGCCACTTATGCTCAGGGCTTTTGTACTGGCTCTTCCCGACATCCCCGCCTGCGAGGTAATTGCTCAGTCTCAGTATGCTTCAAGTTGTTGCTCGAAGGACTTCTAAGTGAGGCCTTCTCTGACTACTTGTTTACAACCGAACCCCTCAAAACGCCCAGACCCCATTTTCTGCTTTGTTTGTTTCATAGCAATAACCATTAGATCACTTTCTCTGCCCCCTAGAATGTGACTCCTTGGGGGCAGGCATTTTTGTCTGGCTTGTTTCTTGCTGTATCCTCAGTGGCATATAGTAAGCATCCAGCAGCATTCACTAAAAAAAGCAGCGATCGAATCCAGGACGGACGAGGAGAAATGTGAAGTCACAGCAGGGCTCAGAGTGAGGCAGCGAGATGGTCAACAGATTGGAGGTCTCCATGGAAGACAGTAAGTTGGAAGATAACAGGACATGTCGTCACGACATCTGCAGAGGTGGCAGTTTCTTTTTTAGGGTGCTAGCTTGGGAATGGTGCCTGATGTGAAGGGGAAGGGGTGAAGAAATCTGCTGATGCCTCTGTGGGTGAGTGGTGGCAGGCTAGTGCTGTTGGTCTCTGAGAGGAGAGTAGGCAGCCCTTTGTGGCCCAAGCCCATGGGACTGACTTTTGCGAATGTCCCACAGCCCCTCTCCTCATTCGCAGTCGTGGCCTTGCCTCCACTTCCTTGAACACAGAGTCTAATCCCTTATCTTCCCAATGCAACTACAAACCTGACCACATCTGTGCACCGTCCCCTTTCCTCTTGGAACAATGTAGAAGGGTCCTTTCCATCCATCCACCCTACGACACCCCAGGTTGAGACCTGCTGGCTGGCAACTAGGGGCCTCCCGGGGGCTGATGTGTTGCTTCTGGGCCAAATTCTCCCTGCTCAGGGAGCATAGACACAACAAGATAGACAGTCCCCACCTTCTACAGGCACCTGTAGCAGTTGGCTCATAAATGTCTTGTAATGAATGGACCTGGGAAAACACCCTAGCCTGGGATCATGCAGGGAGAACAGGAGGGGCAACGAGAGAGCTGGACTCTGGGGACAGCCAAGACCGTGAGGCATGCAACTGGAGGTTGGGAAAGAGGCTCACGTACAATCATGTAGCAGCCCTGAGCAGGGCTGAGTCACAGCGGAACTGAGGAGAAAGCATGGTGCCAGATTACAGATGGGCACAAAGGGAGCAGCGCGAGACTCGTGTCCACTTACAAAATGGACAGGAAATGCTGAAGGACTGGTGGTAGTGAATACACACCACGCTGGGGGAAGGTGACAGCAATAAGACCTGAAAAACTCTCAACCTGATTTTACATAAGCAACATGAATTACTGCCACTATCAACGAACTCTCTCCTTACGACTAGTCATTGAGCAAGAGAATTGCTCTAGTAATCTCAAACCAAACATCAGTGTGCTTTTTTGGTTATGTCTGATCACAGTAATAAACTCTATTCATGAATATGCAGCAACTATCATCTTTCTCTTCCTAACAAATATGGCAGACTGGTAAAACAAAACAAAAAACAAGCGATCACATGAGGTGGGAGCAATGGCAGCAGGAGGAATGGGAGAGAACCTGTGAAGGACACCTCAAAGGACCCGAGGCTCCGTGGAAGGCAGGTTGTGGGGTGGAAGGCTGTGCACCCGGCTTCGAGCCAGGGAGATGGCCAGAAGAGTGAGAGAGGAGCCGCACTCAGTCTCATGGCCTAGTGTGGGTCAGCTGGTGCTTGACCAGCTTTGACCGCTGGCTGAAGGCCTTCCCACAAGCGGTGCAGTCATAAGGCTTCTCTCCGGTGTGCGTCTTCTGGTGCTGAATGAGGACTGAGCGCTGGCTGAAGGCTTTCCCACACTCACTGCACTTATAGGGTCTCTCGCCTGTGTGGATGATCTGATGCTGAATAAGGTGTGAGCTCTGGCTGAAGCCCTTACCACACTCAACACATGTGTACGGCTTCTCTCCAGTGTGAACTTTCTGATGGTGGATGAGGTTTGAGCTTCGGTTGAAGGCTTTCCCACACTGGTTACACTCATGGGGTTTCAATCCATTATGGATTCTTTGGTGCTGAATGAGAGTGGAGCTCTGGCTGAAAGTTTTCCCACATTCAGTACATTCATAGGGCTTCTCTCCAGTATGAACTCGCTGGTGAAGGATGAGGTTGGAGCTGCGGCCAAATGTCTTCCCACATTCGCGACACTCATAGGGCTTGTCACCCGTGTGTACACCCTGGTGCTGAATGAGAGCCGAGCTGTGGCTGAAGGCCTTCCCGCAGACACTGCACTCATAGGGCTTCTCTCCTGTGTGGATGATCTGGTGCTTTCTGAGCACAGAGCTGTAACTAAAGGCTTTCCCACACACGTTACACACATGGGGCTTCTCTCCGGTGTGAATCCTCCGATGCTGAATGAGGCTTGAGCTCTGGCTGAAGGCCTTCCCGCAGTCGTCGCATTTATAGGGTCTCTCTCCCGTGTGAACCCTGTGATGCTTAATAAGGTTGGATACCCGGCTGAATGGTTTACCGCACTCATCACACTCATAAGGCCGCTCTCCAGTGTGAACCCTCTGATGCTTCCGCAGGTGTGAGCTCTGGCTGAAGGCTTTCGCACACTCATTACACTCGAAAGGCTTCTCACCTGTGTGGATCCTGTGGTGTTTGATGAGGTTTGAGCTCCGCCGAAAGGCCTTCCCACAATCACTGCACACATATGGCTTCTCCCCCGAATGAATCCTCTGATGCTGGATGAGGTTTGAGCTCCGCCGGAAGGCCTTCCCACAGTCACTGCACTCGTAGGGCTTCTCGATCATGTGAGACCTCTGGTGCTTCTTAAGGCTGATGTTCTGGCGGAAAGCTTTCCCGCATTCCTCACATATGCACGGCTTCCCTACGCTGTGTGCGCCCCGATGCCTAACGAGGTCTGAGTGCACACGGAAGGCCTCCACGCAGTCACTGCACTGGCGAGGCTCCTCGCTCACACGAGCCCTCTGCTGAGTGTTAGGGACTGAGTTCTGGTGGAAGGCCTTTCCGCATCTCTCACATACGAAGGGCTTCTGTCCACTGTGGAGGGTCTGATGTTGAGTGAGGTCAGTGTTTCCTCTGAAGGTTTTCCCACACTCGCTACATATGAAGGGGCCTTCAGCTGTGTGAAGCCCTTCATGGCTACTTAAGTCCACGCTGTGCTGAAAACTCTGGCCACACATGTATGAATGTGGCCTCTCTTCCACAGGGGATCCCTGATATGTCACTGGGTTTGGGCTCAGACTGAACCTCCTTTCAATGTCGTCCCAGTCCAGCCCACCCTCTCCTAAGGGGCTCTTAAGGAGCGCGGCCTCTGGAGTGAAGTCCTCTCGGCAGAAGGACAGCACCCATCTTGAGTTGCCAGGGAGTCCCCGGTCTCTTTCTAACACATCACCACATGGTTCTTTGAGCTCAGGCTCCTGGGAAACATCACTGGTGTAGTTCTCTGGTATTTCTGCCTGTGACTCCAAATCATCAGAAACAACTTTCTTCTGAAGAAAATCCTCGCTCTCAATCCTGGTGTCCCTATCTGAAATGACAAACAACATCACAAGGAAGGAAACAGGAAAATACACAGATAACAAGTATGGGAGTGTGGGACCCACTGTGGTAGTCCAAGATCTCTTGAGGGTACCAGGCTGCATGGCAACTGAAGACAAGCCCTCAGTCCGCACCCCAGCACCCACATCTCGTGTCACCTGCAGTCTCCTGGTGTCCCTAGACTGCACTTTGCCTCACTCACAGCAAGTCATCAAGTCCCATCAGCTGTGCTATTTTGTGTCCCAAACCCAGGCACTCAACCCTCTCACTTGTACAAGGAAAACATCACATACCTCGTATTACACTGGTAAACACTGTACCTGTTTTTCTTTTCCACAATACATGGAACCTTCTTGGGCCCATCTGTTGTTCACTCAGTGCTAATCAATGGCATTTGGGCTTTGTCTTAGGAGAAGCAAAGCTGGTTCCGACTGCATTGTGGGCTGAGAATTGTGGTAGAGACATGGTGCAACATCAGATTCTGTCTCATTCAACACAGGAGACTTCAGAGATCGTGGCCTGTCCCGCCAAAGCCGCCTTTGCCCCTAAAACCTGCAGTTCTGACAGATGTTAGCTGAAATGACTTCTTGCCACAGTACAGTGTTTAAGCGGCAGCATCAGTCTTTCTGAAGGCTCCTTGTCACACCAGAAGGACAAGGAAACCCTCGTTCCCTTGGATCTCTCTCTTGAATGAAGATCCCGAGTCTCTGTCTCATTCAGTCGTGACATCCAGGCCATACTGCTCCTTTCTTCTCCTGCAGGGATGAGTCATGTCCCCATTTTCACTTCTGATTTTTGTCAATGTAAAGGTTTGTCAGTTTTGTTGATCTTTTAAAAAAAAAATCGATGTCAGATTTTGTTGATTCTCTTTTGTTTTTCCACTCTCTATTTCACTTATCTCTGCTCTAATGTTTATCATTTCCTTGCTTCTGCTAGTTTTGGGTTTAGTTTCCTCCTCTTTTTGTAGTTCCTTAATATGTAAATTTAGATTACCGATTTAAGATCTTTTTAAAATTTCCCCTTTTGCACTGCCTTCCCTGCATGCGGTAAGTTTTGGTATTTTTTGGCTTTGTTTTGTAGATTTTTTCTAATTTCCCTCGTGACTTCTTCGTTTACCCGCTAGTTAAGAGTATGTTGTTTTATTTCTACATATTTGTGAATTTTCCTGCTGTCATTAGTTGGAGATGATCATTATATGATTTCAACCTTTTTAAAGGTATTGAGACTTGTTTTGTGGCCTAACATATGATCTATGTTGAAGAATGTTCCATGAGTGCTTGATAAGAATGTGCATCTTGTGCCTTCGAGCAGTGTATGTCTATTAGGTCTAGTTAGTTTATATTGTTCAAGTTTGCTATTTCATTATTGATCTTCTATCTAGATGTTCTGTCCATTTTTGGAATTGAGGTACTGAGGTCTCCAACTATCATTATAGAACTATCTATCTCTTCCTTCTAATCTGTTTGCTTCGTATATTTTGGATTCTTTCTGAATGTGTATGTTTATAACTGCTATACCTTCTTGATGAGCTGATCTTTTTATCAATATATGATGTCTTCTCTTGTAAGAGGTTTTGACTTCGTTTATTTTGTCCGATAGTTTTATAGTTACCACAGTTCTCTTCTGGTTACTATTTGCATGGAATATCTTTTATCTCCTTTCAATTTAAACCTTACTTGTGTCTTTGGACCTAAAGTAAGCCTCTTCTACATAGCATATATAGTTGAATCGTGTCTAAAAAATATATCTTTTCTGTCAATATATGCTTTTTGACTGGAGAGCCTAAAGCATTTACTTACTGGTTTTGTCCTTCATCACCTCTATTACTATCTTCTTTTGTGTTGTTTATTTTTTGTAGTGTCCCCTCTAGATTTTCTTCTTTCTTCCTGTCGTGTATATTTTAAAGATATTTTCTTAATGGTATCATAGGGATTACAGTGAATATCCTAACATCCTAAAACAATCTAGTTGGTTTTTTCCCCTCCACAGCCCCTTTCCCCCTCCAAGCTTAATTGAAATATAACTGACGTGTAACGTTATGTAAGTTTGAGGTGTACAATGTGATGATCTGATGTACGTATATATTGCAAAATGATTATTGACATAAGGTTAGTTAACCTATCTATCCCCTCTCATGGCTGCCATGTTTTTAACATGGTGAGAAGTTTTAAGATCTATTCTTATCAATTTTCAAGTGTACAATACAGTATCATTAACTATAGTCACCATGTTGAATATTAGATCTCAGAATAAAACTGTCAAGTTTGAACTGATACCAACTTAACTGCAAAGCATACAAAACTCTGCTCCTACACAGCTCTGCCCCCGCCTTTATGTTGTTGTCACAAACACATCTTTATATGTTGTGTGTTCAATGACAGATTTTTAGTTACTTTTGTGCATGTCTTTTAAATCATGTAGGAAATAAAAAGTAGAGCTATAAACCAAATACACAATATTAGCTTTTGTAGCTGCCTATGTAGTTAGCTTTAGCAGAGAGCCTTTATTCCCTCACGTGGCTCTGGGCCCCTGTCCAGTGTCCACCCATCTTAACCTGCGGGACTCCCCTGAGCACTTCCTGTAGGGCCAGGTCTCCTGGCAGTGCACATCCTCAGCCTTTCTCTGTCTGGGAATGCCTTACTTTCTCCTCCATTTTGAAGGATAATTTTGAGAGAATTACTGTTGACAGTTTTTTTCTCTCTCAGCACTTTCACTGTCTTCCGATTACTTTCTGAGCTCCGTGGGTTCTGATGAGAAACTGGCTGTTAGTCTCACTGAGGGTCCCTTATATGAGACTGGTCACTTTTCTTCTGCTGTTTCCAAGGCTCCATCTTTTGACAACTGGATAATTTCTGAATGAGTTTTGGTGCAAACATCTTTGAATTTATCCAGATCGAAGTTAGTTGAGCTTTTTAGAAGTGTCGCATCATCTCTTTCATCAAATTTGGGACGTTTTGGCCACATATCTTCAAATATTCTCGGTGCCCTTCTCTTGCGCCCCTCCCTCTCGGACCCCGTTGCACGTGTCGCTTTGCCTGATGGTATCTCACAGGTCTGTTGGGCTCTGTTCACTTTTCTTCACCTTCTTCTCTATCCTCATCAGACGGATGATTCCAATTGTTCCACCTTCAAGTTTGCTGATTCCTTCGACTGCCCGCTAAATCTAGTGAACTTTGCACTTGCTATTGTATTTTTCAGCTCTAAAACCTTGATTCCATTTTTATAATTACATAGAAGTTTTATTTTTATAATTATGTAAATTTAGAAGCTCTACTGATATTCTCATTTTGTTCATGCACTATTTTCCTAGTTTCTTTTAGTTTTGTTCTGTAGCTCTTTGAACACAATTAAGACAGTTAATTTACAGTCTGTCAAGTATCTGTGCTTTTCCAGGGATACTCTCTCTGGAACCAAGGACCAGCGCCCCACTCTGGAAACATTGGCTGCTCACTTCAAAACTGCCACTGACCCAGGGAGTGTTTGGGGCATGAGCAAGTAAAAACAACACGAAGCCTTCCAACCACTGTTAAGTTGCCTTTTCCTTGATTCAGTATTGGCTTGGTTGCTGTACATCTGTTTTTTAGATTTCTGACAAAGTTGGTCCATGTGGTCTCAGCCTTTTTTTTAACGTTTTCTGTGAAAAGAACGGCTGTTTGACACCACATGCTCCACCACTTGCTTCATAGGCTTCTGAAACAGGAGATCCCACTAACCCGTTTTTTTTCACCCTCCCCTGGAGCAAGCATCCCGGTTTCCCTCGCCCAGCATACCCTTGGCCATCTAGTTAACATCTGTCACTGCCCGGGACAGTCAGCACGGCTCTTTCAGAGCCGCTTCTTGGGACCTTGTCAAGTCTCTCTCTTCTATCCACCTCCCTGCTCTGACACATGTGCCTCACACCACCTGTGCCCTCAGCCCAACCTTCCATGGCCACACAGGCTCTGCCCAGATGTCCTGAGAGTAACAATATGTCCCATGTAGTTAAGAGAGTCCTCTGTACAACAGCCACAATCGGACCCAGTAAGGAAAGCTAACACTGAGTAACGATCCTGATCACTGCTGTGAGGTCCACATAGGAGGCAAGCCGGGGAGGGGTCCTCAGGAAGGGCTCTCTGGCAGGGCTCTGAAGGGGATGGGAGCAGCTGGGCAGTGTGAATGCAGGCGGAGGGAGTGGGGCCAAGGCCCAGGTTAGGGTGGTGGCTGTTCTGGGCAGGGTCAGCTGGCAACCATCACACTGCACCCCTCTGTTTGTCAAGTGGGAAAACCAGAGTGTCCCACTCAGGGAACCATGGCAGCCAGGGGCCAGGCGAACTTCTTCTCTGACCTCTAGCCTTGGCCCCTCAAGTCCACGAGGCATCCTGCCCCTAATAATGACACAGATGATACCTGGAGTCAAACTCAAGGTGACATGGGCATAGTGCCCCCCCCCAAATGAGGGCACCAGTGGGAAACTCGCTCCTAGTACCTGGCTGCTGATGGTGAGGGGGGGTGGTTCCCAGCTCAGTGTCGCTGCAGCAGAGGGGACCACAGAGTGCAGATCCACGTTGGGTCATGGTGGGAGCATCACTCACACAGGCCTGGGCTGCACGGGTCCAAGGGCATGGTCCAGGAACGGAGGGCTCCATTGATGCCTCGTGGGTGAGCTCTGAGGCTGGGCATGACTGGGACCTGGAGACCAGAAAGGACACTGGTGAGTGTGCAGAAGTCCCAGGGATACAACCTCCCAGCAGGTCGGGGTCCCTTCTTCCCCCCCTGCAGCCTGAGACCTAAGGAAAACCTGGTGCTGAGTCTCAGAGACTGATGCCATCTTCCCCGATCCTGGGCCCAAGGGGAGGGTCAGCCAGTCATGGGGGTACAGACTCGCAAGCCAGAGCCATGAGTGGGGGGCGAGATGAGCCCAGGCCTGCCATGACGGGAGAAGAGCAGTCGCCACAGAGCCCCCACTTGGGTAAACCCCTCATTTCTGACACGATGCCCTGAGGGTGAACCACCGGCCCCACTCACAGGGGGAGCGGCAGCTCGAGGCTGGGTAGCCAGCGGCAGCCTGAGCTGCAGACAGGCACATGGTCACCACAGTGCCCCCCTTGCCCTTCTGGCAGCAGCCACAGTCGACACCCTCGTCTCTACCTTCCTTGGCTGTCTTCTCACTGCACCGGCAGCTGCCCCCGACTCCTCCTCTCCCTCTCCATGTTGGCGCTCCAGGGCTCACTTCTGCACATCAACTTCCTCGGTTAATCTGTCCACTTCTGAATTATTGAGAACCCAAAGACTGTGAAGACTCCCAAAGCTGGGCTCATCTCCAGCCCTAACTGTTCCCTCTGAGCAGGACATTCCCTGGACACATGATGGGTCTCCAACATCACTAAGTTACTGATTCCCTCCATCCTACCCGCTGCCCCATCTCTGTGCAAATGTAATACACCTTGCCCAGCAGTCCACCTGGGAGTAGGGCGACACCCCCTGGCCCTTTATTCCCACTGCACCATCAACAGGTATACCGATCCCTCTGTCTTTCAGGAGTGGAGAAGACAAGGTAAGAAATGTTGGTAGAAGTCCATTTTGGACACTGCCTGCCAATCTATGTCCCTCCCGGACATATGTTTTCAGAGTTTCCCAAACACCTACCATATGCCTGGGTCTGTTCTGGGAACGCTGTGAAGATACAGCAGTGACCATCGCCCTTGGTGGGGAGATAGATCATACGAAATGCATCAATGAGATGGGCAAGTGCTCTGGGCATAGGCATCGGGGAAGGGGTGGAGCCCTGGGGTAGGCCAGTATTTAAACCAGGGGTGGGGTGGGAGGTGGGATGGGGGGTGGTTAGGCCCCGCCTGGTTAGAAAGGTGGGAGAACGCAGAGGTGTGGACAGAGCTCAGAGGTAGAGTCACTGGGGCACAGAATATAAGAGGCCTTGGCTGCCTGAGGAAGGTGAGGCACTGCGTACATTCCCACATTAGGAAAAAGACAGAACACAGGAAACATCTCGGGAAGGGTAACCTGGCACAGGTGGTCAGCGGGATGCCACAGGCGAGACTCACAACAGGGAGAGCACTGACTTAAGGGGCTAAACCATGCGCAGCAGAGGGGATGCCATTTCCATGGAGTGTGGGGGGGCGGGGGTTCGCTTTCCCTCTCCCAAAGGGAGACATGATCATTTGCAATATGTAGTCCGTTCATTTTATTTTAAAATTCTCAAAATCATCAACACTGTCACCGAACAGGGGCACAGTCACATGGCTCAAAATTCAAAATATAAAAAAAGGGCTTATGCTGAAACACCTCCCAGCCAGCCACTCAGTTCCCCTTCCCAGTTTCTAACGTACCCCTTCAGATTATTCTAACACAAGCAAACATGTACATATACATTTTTTCGCCTCTTCTTTATAAACTGTAACAAGCTATGGTCGTTTCATATCTTGTTTTTCTCACCGCAGTACGTGTGGGATTCTTGCCCAGGACACAGACCCAATCGGTGGCAGACAGAATGACCTCCCCACCCCATGTCCACCTCTTAACCCTTGGAACCTGTGGATATGCTGCTCGACTCACAAAACAGACATGGCAGAGAGAATTAAGGTTATGGGCCTGGATTACCCTACTAGACCCAAAATAATGACAGGAGCCCTTGCTGACTCAGAGGCGCATCGGTCAAGTGCAAGGACTGGAGCCTCCAGGATCTAAGGACAGTCAGCAAGAACACAAGCACTTCAGTGCAAAGACCTCAAGAAACTGGATTCTGCCAACGAGCTCGGAAGCGAATTCTCTTGGCTAAGTGCAGCAGAGACCACGGCAGGCGTCCATAGCACGTGCATGAGCCACCACCACTCGGCCCCACTCTCCAGTCCCTTCTCCACGCGCAGGCCGAAGCCACCATCGACCGGGCCCCCAGGCAGGGCACCCGGTGCTGAGCGACGACTCCACCTCTCACCCGGTCCCGACGTTCGCACCGGATTCCCGCGGCCCTTCCTGCACCCCAAGCGCACCCGCCCCGCGGCTCTGCAGTAGTTCTGGCCCGGGTCGCGCCGCCAGGC